AAGTTAACATTAATAGAATGTGAGTATCATAATGATCCTTTTGCAATGGTTCTTCATCGATTTTGTTATAGTAGCAATAGATTTAGACAAATGTTCGCAGAATTTAAACAAACAAATTGAATAAATGAATCATTCTCATAAAAAAAAGTATTTTTTTTTCAAATGTTTCTCGTGCCCACGTAAAACTAATTCGATTGATAACTTATCAGCAACGATAATCACTAGTCAATATTAACTATCATGTCTTTTTCAATCAAACAAGCATCTAATATCATTGCTGTTTTTTTAGAAAATACTTAATCCTATTTAGATTGAATAATTTAATTATCTACGCCATTTTGAAATTTATCATTAGAAAATTAATTAAAAATGGTGAATAGAAAAGAAAAAAAAGAAAATATTACTATTATTTGGTTCAATTTCGACATTCATTCACATAATCTTGCATAAAATATTAATGAACGATAACTTCAAATAAATGATTATATCCTTTATTACAATGAAATCGAACCTTGTTTAAGTTAATCTGTTCTTGATAATTTTTAGAGTAGGCTATAGAGCTGATATTTAACTACCCGTCCGAAAAAAAATAGAAAAAAATTCTTAAAATTGACGGAGTTATGATAAGTACAACAACAAAAAGTGATTCGTCGAGTTCAATTGCCCCACTCTACTCTATACAATGTTTCCATAAAAAGCCTTTTCTACATGAGCACTGAGATCTCTTACCTGTAAAATAATGTCAAACAATATAATCGTGAAACATTGAACAGTTTAAGTCAAGTTAAATTAGGATAATCAGCAGCAAGAAGAATACGTTCCATAGATTCTGATTCAAGCATAAGAGATGTAACATTGTTATGAATTTTAGGCAAGATATTAATGCAGTATCGATTAAGTATTGAAACAGAAATCGGTAAAGCATCATCAGTTGCCGTTGTTAATACAAAATTGAGAGTCTTAGTGAAAGCTTTGTGAAGTATTATAGTATCAAGTCGTTGATTATCAACATCCAATAATGAATAGAGAACATCCATATTGATAATAAGTAATATTTCATTAGGTAAATCAAGAAAGGTAACGCTTGAATGATGCATATTAATTTTGATTGACGCTCTTCGTAAGATGCGTTTATATACATTTTCATTGTTTCTTTGTACTCATTTCCGCCATTGAATAAAATGAATGGATGAACTCGCCGAAAATCCACTGAATTCATATAGTATGTTCCCTCAGTTCGATGACTCATCGAATGCATGGCAAATATACTCTTTGAAGGGTGTCATATGTCTTCACACTTTTTTCGAAGTTAATATCGAGAATTTTCCATGGTAAGTAGAATAGAGACATTAGGTATGTATTTATTTGTCGTACCCATATGCAAGTTTCGAGACTTAACTCAATAAAAATAAAATACACCATAAAAAGGTCGCTTCAATCTCATCTTTGATGATGTTTTGTGTTATTACCTGTCATTTTTTTAAAACGAAATCAAGAACGCAGTTCAATAGAGAATAGTTTTCTCTATCTACAGTCTATACTAACAGTTGAACAGTTATTCTTTTCTTCGTTCATCTCGGATATTATTGTCATCGCTGGTCTCTGTTCTCATTCATAGGTCATCGAGAGAGACACCTTCAAAGAAACAAAAAGAAGAAAATATTTACCGTACCAAAAATGTCTTGAATTTTATTCACCAATATTTAGTACAATGAACAGAAATAGAATAGGATATTAATGAAAAGTGCGTAAAATAATTATTTATTTTGTTATAGATCGTCTCTTTCAATTTTATATAACCTTCTTAGATCAACATCAAATGAGACCATTTTTTTTTTAATATTTTTTATGCGTTTTTTTGCCATTGCTATAAATACAAAATAAACATATAAGCTATTTTTTTACTGCATTAAATCTCATTCCACTGAAAAATGTCTAATCAAGATTGACAAATGTATGGTATTACAAGAAAATTTTCATAATAGGTGCAATATTAGATATCTTAGTGAAGATTTATGGTTCCCTGAAATACTATGAATTAAATGACGTTTATATGTTTGTCCGAAACTAATGCACTTTGACAGACAGAGACTAATGCAATTGTTCTTTATAGGAGATGATACATGATTAAAATTCAGCTAAATTACACTGTAGGTATGGAACTATGAATAATAGAAACGAGAGAAAATCAATATTTTAATGTACTCACACAAGAGTTTGCACGTACGTTGGAAGAGTGAATATAAGATTTATTAAAAAATTCAGATAATTTCCATAAAAATAAGTCCTGGTAGGGTGTGGCTGTGGGGTGACAGTGTGCAGGTGTGAATGTTGGTGTGCCGAAAAGATCAACACCCACACCCTCAAGAATAATATTTAACATCTTGTCATTTCTCATAAAAAACACGATATTAATTATTTCGATATTCTAACAGAAGTTGTTTCTCGCTAAAGAGTTTTTCTTTTTATCCGACACGTAGTTAGAAGTTTCAGTAAAATCTATTCTACGAAATTTTTCTCATATTGTTTCAGTATGACTTTGAATTTTGCGAAAGAGTCAAACGAGAATTTTTGAGATAATTGATTTTAAATTATTAAATTAGAATCGATTCAATTTAAGTTTCATAATCTTGCCATAAGAAAAATTGAAGAACAGCGACAACATCAAAGAAAAATCGCCTTTATTCAATTTCGATTTTCTTTTAATTGACTTGTTTATCAAATTGAAATCTTCATTTTCACGCATAGACACTCATCCAAGTTAGTCTCGGAAGTCAAATTATAGATAATGCGTTTCAGCATGTAGTCGAAGTACTTAAAATCAACAAAGTAAATTACTTTTCGAGTTGATTTATCTATTTTGCTTCGTTTTGTCACTGTTAAATAATTGAGAAGAATATTCTAATTATTTAAATATGATCTAAAACCTGCAAAATTGAAGTTCATATTTTAAATTTTGAATAAGATCGAATGATAAATCCGTATCAAATGAACGTAAAATGAAACATCCCGATAGAATAATATTTTATCTGAATTCTTTTTATTACAAGATTTTCAATGTTTAGTAAACATTGAACATTTTCTATTATCTTTCTTTTAATTAAAATATTTAAAAGGAGTTTTTTTTATTTGAAAATTTCCTCTTCATTGTTTTCAAAAATTAAATTTTGCATTTGAATTTCTCATGATTATCAAATGTTACATTAATAACAAAAGAGTAGTGTCACATATCCAGAAATTTGGAGATGCCGTCACTTCTGCCGCTGGAGATGCGGCATCTCCAAATTTCGGGATATGTGAAGCTGCTGAATTTATTTGGTTATTCTTCGTAAGAGTTTAAATAATTCAAATTTCCATATATTTTCTTTAATCTTTCAATTTTGAGCTTTGAATCGAAAAAACTTCAACTTTTATTCTATGATTATTAAAAGAATATTCACCAAATGTCTTCTCTCGATATCGTTCAAAATAAATATCTTTTCAAATATTGAAAACCTCCGTCCGGTTCATACGAAGCTATCCGATTCCGTTTTTTCAGTAGAAAAATTTTGCAATGGTAAATAGAGTTTTCTCGAATAATTGGTTTTAAATTTCAAAATGAATCGAAACTTTGACTAATATTATTAAATATATTTGGAGTTGATCAGTCAAAGTACTGAATAGAAAGAATATTTGCATTCAATTATGTGAAAAACCATTGAAAACTTCATCTATTAGAGATTATTAGATTTTCTTGAAATTTCTTTTTAAAGAAAAAAAACAATTCAGATTTTTTGAAAATAAATTTGTTAATTCTCTCAAATTGATTTATCAATATCAGCAGTTTTTTTTGTTAACTTACGCTTGAGGGTGGGGGTGTGAGTGGTGTGGTCCACGGGAGTGGATGTCGATGGTAATACTTGTAATTCACACCCACACATTCACACCCCTCTACATTAAAGTTTTCTCACATAGCATTTCTACTGTATTGAAAACAAATGGGACAGTGTCAGTAAAATACAAGTATTTATTTACGTTCAAGTGCTTGTTATGCTGTGTTTTAGAGTATATTTTGTTTTTTAAATAAGTATACTAAAGAATAAGAAAAGTACGGAAGAAAATCAACACCTTGTTTTTTGTTGCAAGAGAAGAATGGAATGTTCTATGCAAAATTCAGATACCAAATCATGTACTATTTCATTATTACTTGGTTTCTACATGTTATGCTATATTCTATTGTTCAAATTCATAGTATTTAGAACATTAAATGCTAGTAGTACTGTTATGATATACATTAATATGTTGACGCTGAGGTGTTTGATTTAATTTTGGTGACATCCATATTACTTGACCTTCTTCGACCGTTTTTATTCAATCCAACATGTATACATTGAATTTCTTTGATTTGTGGCAAATCAAAAAAGGTGCCTGCTAGAAAAAGCCATTTGACTTCAGCATCGAGTGCAAGGCGAGAATTTTGTAGTGATGTACTTGCTATATCAACCAGACAAGAAGAAAGCACAAAAATATCGATGCAAGTATATAAGAATTATCATTAATATTCCATACATCTAAACTTCACACCCATCGCATGATTGTTTACCATATGTTTAACATAGTCATGTATGCTCAGTAGAGTATTAGAGACGTTTATGTTGTGTTATTGGTTTATTTTTTTATAGAAAAGCCTATATAAAGTTGTCTCTAAGGGAGATATTTATAATGCACTATAAACGAGACAATATATTTTGACTTGTCATGGATACTGAATAATAAAATAACACTTTAAGATAAGGTTATTTACCGTGAGATAACTTCGCAATACGACATAGGTTTGCGCCATCATGCTCACATCTAACATTTATTCTATCGAGATATGGGTAGAGCCAAACCGTTTGCACTCACGATAGTATTCTTATGCTTCCTTGCTACTGTGAATGTGTTAGGCAAATAGAAAGTTGCTTAAAATAGTAATTCGGTCATTTATTAGTGTAGGTGTTTGAAATACATAGTAATTATGTATTACAACCGATTGTACGGCGAGAATCCCGCTAAAAATGTCGAACCATGCAAATGGTGGCAACACCCTCGACTGAAGATCATCTGTATATCGTGGATCGTTGTGATAGTAGTTGCAGTTACCCTCTTTCTGGTTCTAAAATTTGCTATTGTTGCAAGGAAAAACCCGAAAACTACTGCCACACCAATACTACCACTAACAACCACAACAACAACATCAACGTCAACAATAACTACGACCACTACTGAACACTCAGGCGAGCTTTATAGTAGCTGTCCTTAATATCCGTAAATGCTACTTTAAAATTCAATATATATCCTGTTGTTCTACATGTAGTGATTCTCTGTATCTCACGAAAGATTCCACTGTAGGGATATCAGTAATATTGTCATAAGTAATTCAATATGGATGATAGGAAACAATCAAGTAAGCGTAATTCTTATGTTGATTGTTTCTCGTCTTGATCAAAGTTTACTTCATTTAGTAGATGTCTACACAACGAAATTCGTTTTTCGACTCTGTTTTGTTCTTACTATAAATTCCATCTTAGCAAACAGATAAATACGTGAAGAGATGAAAAATGGATGACTCAGCTTTTAATGATTGTTTGAATATCTGATCAGTCATTAGAAGGCTGACGCTGCTCTTTGTTATAAAAACAAAGCTCGAACCATCGGAAAGTGAATAAGTTTTAAAGAACGAAATAGTAGCAACACTACCTCTAATGGATGATAATGACGACAAACATAATTCCAGTGCTTTTCCATAATTTTCATTAGCATAATACTTGATCATTAGTATGTAATTGCAAGTAATTAACAATCGTATGGTGATAGCCCTTTGTTGTTGATCTCTCATTGATTGTGATGAAATTTCTGTTTTCTGTGATTTCAAATACTTTTGCTTAATATCAAGTGATGTCTGAGATTTTAAGAGCTAATAAAAGATGATTGAAAATCAACCACAATCGTTGGATTGAGAAAAATGAATAAAAATTATTTTCAGTGAAAGGATAGTAAAAACAATCGATCTAAATTTCTCAGAGACTTTAGAGGATGCTCGTTATTTTTCAGTAGTTTACATCAGTTACGTCGTCGA